AATATTATGCGGCTTTCAAAAGAAAAACATTGTGAATAAAGACAATTATGTTCAAGAAAAAAAAAAAAACATTCTTTTGATTACAAAATAAGATAGACCATATATAAAAAGACAGAAGATTGCCTACATCCACCCATTAAGTTTTACTGGTAAGTCAGTAAAGTAAGTCAGTATCAAGACAACAGCAAGAAAGAATAAAGAAATACTTTTATACTCTACATCAAGATTTCTCAGCTATCCCACTAAAAAACCTGCAATTCCTATGTAGATATATGCACTTGAACATCTGCAAAATTATTATTAAGATCATTTCTTGTGTTTTTTTTTTTCAAAACTAATTGTAAATTTATTATAAGTTTGTTATTTAAAACACCTCTTGCTGACACCAGCTAATAACTGATAACAGCTCAGTTTTTTAATTAAGCAATTATATATTCAGGCCCCTGTTACAGAAATTAAGCCTCAGTCATAGAAGAAACCTCCAGAAGGGGACAAAATGCTCTACAGTTTTGTAGGGTCGGTATTTTTGTAAAATAACAGCAGGTCCATCTAAAGCACATCCAATTCAAAGTCAACAAAGGTTACTGTACATCTTATATGAGCTGCAGACAAGAGCATTCTCAGGCTTAGAAGACAGAACTTCTCTAGAGACACTTTGGACTTGGAAGCAGGCTCCAGCTGCTGGTAAGGACCACCAGAAACTTCACATCCATCTTAAATCGGCTTCCTCTATGAAGCATTTGCATTTAAAATCATAAAAAGAAATCCAAACACCAATAACAATCCAAATCCCTCCACAATGCATCGTCAGTAATTCCTTTTGAAAGATCATGGAACAGAAAGTGATCCCTCCCATGGCAAAAAGTGGAGACTTAAAACATCACTGGGAGGCATTCAGATCCTATACTGATCCCACAGTATGTAGAACAAAATAGCTTATAATTCAGATTATGTTTATGGACGAAGCTGGAGTAGCTTCAAGGCCAAGACAGTTACCCTAGATTAGTGCCATAAATGTTATTATATGTGAAACAGCTGCAAGATAAATTCTTTCATATCATACATAGGTATAGTTGTACTTTCAGCTGTCTCACTGTTGAAATACTGTAAGCATGTTGTAAACACAGGTTCTCCTATTCATAAAATGCATTTATAACTCTTAGTTGCATATGAACAAGTGGCTCCTTATAGCTGAAGTTCATAAAAAAAAATTAAAAATCACACCAAGACACACAGGAAGAGCCAGGGTATTCAACTTCAGAAGCTACACATATGAAATATTCCTAAAAAATGACCTTGGTAATAAGAAAAATCACAAAGCAAACTTAAAAAAAAAAAAAAAAAAAAAAAAAAAAAAGTGTGTTAGTTAAATGAATAGTGCTATTAAGAGAACAAAGCAGTATCAATGATCCGTAAGCATGTTGTTCACAACCTTTCACTGCACCCTTCACCTCTCTCCTATTTCTCCTTTTCTTTTTTGAATCATCCAAAAGAAATCTTCCAAAACCTCTTCGAGGAAACAGTCTGCAGCCACAAGATTTTGTGCTAATGAAGCTCGAGGACTGTGAAGCCAGAGGTCAAGAGTACATCTTCTATGTCTGGGCTGAATTTGAAATTAAAAGGGCTGCTTGATTTAGATCCAAGGGTGAGTAAGGTAAGGGGAGGAATAAGCTCCAGTGGAAAAGTTTACTAGAAGCAGAAAACAATGAATATGGAGAAATGCTACAAACTTATCCAGTTTGTGATGCCTCACCAACCTTATTAGTACTGACTGCAAGGCAACTCACTGCATTAATTTCTTCTTTGGTAACTTTCATTGAAAGGAAACTAACCAATATAAAATTAAACCAAATAAAGGAAAGAGGAGAATGCCAGAGTGACATAGGTGCTGTTTCTGTTCCAGTTGCTGACTGACAACACTGCCATCCCTTAACATGGTTTTATTTAGTTATTACAACCATCTCTCTGTAAATGACACTTAGGATTATTTAAGATTATGTTGTAATCCTTTTAATCCTCAGTGCTTTAAATTTCAGGCTAAACACCAAAGAGCAAACTAGCACTTAGCAGAAATATTTAAAGCATGTGATTTGAACATAAATCTTCTTTTATTCACCACTCCTCTGATGAAGACCTAGTGTATCACGTCATTCAGCCAGTGAGAACAAACAGCACAGTATCTCACTGCAAACTGCTACATGCAATGCTGTTTCTAGCCAGTTCTTTTCCTTGGTGCTAGCTAGATCATCAATTAAATAAATGAAGTAAAATCAGAAGGTTGTATTTTATGACACGCATATTTTTGGTTGCTCTCGAGGAATACTTGTAAAAACCCTAATATGTTCATCAGGAACAGAAATAGAATGCATGCACAAATTAGATAGTGTGAGAGGCAGATCAGATTTATCCTGTTAAACAGGGAGTAGCTCAATTAAAACGAATAGAGTAACACTGCTGAAAACCTCATGATCAAGACCAGAAACCCAAATCTTCCTGTCTGAATTTCATTTACTTGCAGTTTCCCCTTTTTTTCCCCCTGCATCGATCATGTTTCCAATTAATTTTCTTTATGATACCCCTGTACTCCATCTTCTTGTTACCATCCATTAACTGTCATGGGCTTAAATTTTAAATTCAAGATTTCCTTTTTTTTCTTCAAGCCAAAATCACAGTACTCATTTCCTATTTCTAATCTATAATTCATGAACACAAATTGAGCACCCAGGCTAAATCAAACTCGAAGTTTTGCACCTACGTCTAGTACAACACATTAGCAGAAAGCAACATTTCTCTGTTTGAAACAGAAAATAATGTTTCATTGTTCAGAAAGTAACGAAGCAAAAACCAACCACGCTTTGGACATAAAATTATACTTATTTCTGATCATCCCATAGTTAGTCAGTTAATGTATTTAATCAAATATTAATGCTGTGCATCCATATTTAGGTTGGAGAGAAACAAACAAGCCACAACAATAAAAAACAAAACCGTCCACATTCTTTTCATTTGAACAAATTATGAATGTTGACATATATTATCAGTCATATTCCTATCCGTTAGGAATAGGTAGAGCATCAGAAGCTTCTTCTGAAATATTCATTATCCAGGTACAAACCTGACCTCTTCACTTTCAAACTCGCCTTGGATTCCCTCCAGACTATCTCATAAATCTTCTCTCCCTCTCTCTAGTCCCCTTCCCACTCTCTCTGCTCATGTAGCACCAGTCTCCTTCAGTCCTTTCCTTTCCCAAAATGTCACCACTACTGATGCCAAAGCCTTCTCCTCTTTCACTCTTACCATCTGGCATAATCTTCTTGTAGCTCTCTGTCTAAACAATGCCCCATCCCTTTTCAAAATGTGTCTTAACATATGTCCTTCCTCTCATGCTTTTACTTCTTAATGTCTCTCCCACTCACTTATTGGCTTGATGAAGACATGTTTTAATGGGTTCAAACAGTAGCACATGAATTTCCTTTCTCACATTATTCTGATTCAGTGGAGTTACACCTCACACTAAGAGAAGTGAGAAGAAAATATATTGCAAAGTCTTCACACAACTAGGTTGGATAAATCAATAACAGAGCTTCATTTGTCTTTGCATTGGAAAAGTATTAGCTTAAAAGAATCACCACTGCAATATGCATTTTCAAACACAAGTTTTGCTTAATGCAAAAAGAGAAATAAACCCTAGAAGCTCAGAAGACTTGTCAGTACGCTCAGGGGGTTTCAGGACTGAAGGCTAAGGTTATACTTAATCACTCTGGAAGTGAAAAAGCTGAGGATTGACAGCAAAACCAAAATATTTATTCTAAAAATACCTGGGAAATGACAAACCTCTAAGTGTTGTTTCAAGACAACCTGAAGGATGCGGAGGGTACAGAAGCGTAATTCTGTCGTGGAGATGAGGAATATTTCTAAATATTGTATGCACTTTGGAAAAGATGTCTAGAAAAATAAACCTTGAAAAACTCTCTGTAACACCAACTGAGCCAAAGAGGTTTCTTCTCAACAAAATGTGTGTGATCCCTTGGGGGTTTCTGTGTGCAGTGATTAAATCCCAGAGCCAGGTACAGTTTCACTTGGTGATGATGCAGAAGGACTATCCAATAACTAACAGTATCTTGACCCCAGCACGTTTGCTTCTATGTCTCTCTTCCCTTTATTGTTTAGATTGTTAAAAAAAAAAAACAAAAACCTTCGTGTTAGAACTATGGGAAACAACTCAATTCATAGAGAATAATATTTTGATGTGACTTGATGCAACTTTCAGTGAAACAAAAAGAAATATTTGCAGTGATATTCATAGGAACGGGATTATGTTGAAAAACTGAAAATGTTACATTAAACCCTTTTGGCTTCTAGATCCCAGAGTGTTAACCTTACAATAACACTCTTTTAATTCTTTCATCTCCTAAGGCCTTGGTCCTACCTTTCAATTCAACAGATTTAGATGCAGTAATTAAATAGTATTATTTTCCATCAATGAAGATTAGACTGATGAGAAATGTATGTATTTCTATGCCGGCCTTGACAGAAGCAAGCTTATACCATGCTCCACTCCGCCTCCAGAAATGAACCTGGGTCATCACTGTCTGAGCACCCTGAACAGCAATCAAAATAAACGGAGTAACCACACTGTGTTGGAGCAGTGCTTGTATAAGCAGTTTGAAGAAGTTGTGTTTATGGAAGTCCTTTGGGTCAAGATTCTAGGCCTGAACTCCAAGCAATTACCTACTAAGTTTTAAAAACAAATTGAATATAGAGCATTAATCAATAAATCAACAGGTTCTCAAGTGTTTAGGAAACTCAGTCATCAGAAATTCTTCCCTTAGAAAAATAGTAAACCAATGCTTGATAAAATGTTACACTCCTATGTTAGCAGGAAAAAAGCTGTATTAAATCAGACTCCAGTTATTTAAAACCAAGGAAATAAATCCTACCTCTTAGCTTAACAGAGTTTATACTCAAAAGAGCAATGAAATGCATGCATTGCTTCTTACCTGAAAGACATTCTTTCTGCTGGATTTCTCTGGAGTCCACTCAATGTGAGCACCACACAAATCCACACACTCAGGTTTATATCCCGGTTTCTGCAAAGGAAAAATTAACTATGACATTCCACAAATGGACAAGATCATATAAATTAAGAATAGATCAAGTTTAAGTGAAAGATTACTGCTGTGAAGCTTCTGGTATTACTCAGAAGAGTTCATTGTTCCTCTGTACTATTAGATAACTATTCTCAAGGTGTTAACTCAGAAATAAGGTTCTTACACTGCGTACCTGATTTTAAATGTAGTTAGATAGGTAAAAAATAAAATATCTAATATACAATAGATCAAAACACAAATGCATACACACACTGACCAGAGTTTTTTAATTGCTTACTTTTCAAAACCTCATGAAAAGCCATCACATTTCAAGATAATGCTTTGTGGATTTTCCAACTGCAAATTGAAACTGATGAAGCTGGAAAGGACAGAAAGTAGACAAGAACGTACATTGTGTCTGTAAGACAAGCTATCTCCTTTCTCCAAACAAATAATCATTTCTAGCTCTAAAAAATGAAAGCTTCAAAGACGTGTGTGACACCCAGAAAGAGCTCAACACATAAGGATAGCTTCGTGTAGCGCTACTTCGATGTCAGTTCGTGCATCCCTGAGCAACATAGCTCAGCCTCCCAGCTCCTCCATATGGATGAAAATAATTCAAAGAGCAGGCTTTTTT